ACAGCCCCGGGGACAGCACCGGGGACAATGGGGACAATGGGGACAGCACCGGGGACAATGGGGACAGTGGGGACAGCACCGGGGACAGCACCGGGGACAATGGGGACAATGGGGACAGCACCGGGGACAGCACCGGGGACAATGGGGACAATGGGGACAGCACCGGGGACACAGGTGACAATGGGGACACTGGGAACAGCAGGGACAGCACCAGGGGCACAGGTGACAATGGGGACAATGGGGACAGCAGGGACAATGGTAACATTGGGGACAACAGGGACAGCGGGGACAACAGGGCCACTGGGGACAGCACCCATGGGGACACTCCCAGTGCCACCTGGGGCTGATGACAACACCCATGAGGACATCTACAGTGCCACCAGTGCCACCTTGGGGCTGGTGACAATGCCCACAGTGCCACCCCCAGTGCCACCTGGGGCTGGTGACAATGCCCACAGTGCCACTCCCGGTGCCACCTGGGGCTGGTGACAATGCCCACAGTGCCACCCCCGGTGCCACCCCTGCCCACCTCCTGTAGGTGTCGGAGGCGGCCGCGTAGTGCAGGGGGGTGCAGCCTTTGCCGTCGGCCTCGTTGGCGCTGGCCCCGGCTGTCACCAGTGTCACCGTGCACTGGTAGCTGCCGTTGGCGGCCGCGTAGTGCAGGGGGGTCCTGGGGACACAGAGGGGACACACGGGCTCAGCACGGCCTGCCAAACTCACCTTCCAGGACCTGCAGGAGCCCAGGACACCCCAGCAACCCTTCCAGGACCCAGAACATCCCAGAAACCCTTCCAGGACCTTCCCAGGACACCTTTAAACCCTTCCAGGACTCTCCCAGGACACCCTCAAACCCTTCCAGGACCTTCCCAGAACGTCCTAGAAACCCTTCCAGGACCCAGCAGAAGGCCAGGACACCTCAGGAACCCTTCCAGGACCCTCTCAGGACACTTTGAGAACCCCTCCAGGACCCAGAACATCACAGAAACCCTTCCAGGACCCAGCAGAAGCCCAGGACACTTTGGGAACCCTTCCAGGACCCAGCAGGACACCCCAGAACCCTTCCAGGACCCTCCCAGGACACTTTGGGAACCCTTCCAGGACCCAGCAGGAGTTCAGAACCCCCAGCCCAGGGCGGCTCTGGGGTTTTCCTGCCCCCAGGATTTCGGGGATGTGGGAATGTCCCGGCCCAGGAGCCGCTCACCTCCCGAATTTATCCCTCCTCCTCAGGTCGGCACCGCTGCTCAACAGCAAATTGAGACATTCAACGTTCCTGCAGAAGGGGACAGGGGTCAGGCACCCAGAAATGTCACCCAGGCACCCAAAAATGTCATTCAGGTACCCAAATGTCCCCCTGGCCACCCAAAAATGTCACCCAAGCACCCAGAGTGTCACCCAGGCACCCAAAAATGTCACCCAGGCACCCAGAGTGTCCCTCCCAGGAGTGTCTCCCCCAGAGCCCCTCCAGGACCTGCAGGACCCTCCCAGGACCCTTCCAGGACCCAGGTGTCCGTCCCTGCTCCCAGCAGGTCCATGCCCTCCCTCAGAGCACTGTCCCCATGTCCCAGGTATCCCAAGTGTCCCCATGTCCCCGTGTCCCATGTCCCAGCTGTTCCCAGATGTCCCCGTGTCCTGTGTCCCAGCTGTCCTGGTGTCCCCAGTATCCCCGGTGTCCCCAGCTGTCCTCGGTGTCCCCATGTCCCCAGCTGTCCCCATGTCCCCGGTATCCCCAGTGTCCCCAGCTGTCCCAGTGTCCCCTTGTCCCTAGCTGTCCCCATGTCCCTAGCTTTCCCGGTGTCCCCAGTGTCTCCAGTGTCCCCAGCTGTCCTCATGTCCCCAGCTGTCCTGGTGTCCCCATGTCCCAGCTGTCCCAGTGTCCCCAGATGTCCCAGTGTCCCCAGCTGCCCTCATGTCCCAGCTGTCCCAGTATCCCCGGTGTCCCCATGTCCCCAGTGTCCCCAGCTGTCCCGGTGTCCCCGGTGTCCCCAGCTGTCCCCATGTCCCCAGTGTCCCCAGCTGTCCCCATGTCCCCGGTGTCCCCGTGTCCCCACCCTCCGGAGGCGGCGGCGTGCAGGCAGGTCCTGCCCAGGCAGTCGGGGGTGTTGATGTCGAAGCCGGCCGAGAGCACGTGCTCGTTGCTCAGCGACGACACGATGCTGTACAGCTGGCCTGGGGTACAGCCCGTGTCACCGAGTGTCCCCAGGGTCACACGGCTGTCCCCAAGGGTCACCGTGGGTCCCCAGGGTAACCGTGTGTCCCCAAGGGTCACTCAGGTATCCCCAGGGTCACACGGGTGTCCCCAAGGGTCACCGTGGGTCCCCAGGGTAACCGTGTGTCCCCAAGGGTCACTCAGGTATCCCCAGGGTCACACGGGTGTCCCCAAGGGTCACCGTGGGTCCCCAGGGTAACCGTGTGTCCCCAAGGGTCACTCAGGTATCCCCAGGGTCACACGGGTGTCCCCAAGGGTCACCGTGGGTCCCCAAGGGTCATCCAGGTGTCCCCAGGATAACTGTGTGCCCCCAAGGGTCACTGCGTGTCCTCAGGGTCACCAAGGTGTCCCCAGGGTCACCATGTGTCCTCAAGGGCCACCGCGTGCCCCCAAGGGTCACCGCAGGTACCCAAGGGTCACCAAGGTGTCCCCAGGGTCACCACCAGTCCCCAGGGTTACCTCAGTGTCCCCACGATCACCGAGGTGTCCCCAGAGTCACACTGGTGTCCCCAGGGTCACTTTGGTGTCCCCAAGGGTCACTCTGGTGTCCCCAGGGGTCACTTTGCTGTCCCCAAGAGTCACCTCAGTGTCCCCAGGGTTCACTCTGGTGTCCCCAAGGGTCACTCTGGTGTCCCCAGGGTTCACTCTGGTGTCCCCAAGAGTCACCTGGGTGTCCCCAGGGTTCACTCTGGTGTCCCCAAGGGTCACTCTGGTGTCCCCAAGGCCCCTGGCCGTGGCAGGCATGTCCCACCTGAGGAAAGCAGCTTGCGGCAGCAGTCGGAGAAGCCGAAGAGCACGGCCAGGTGCAGAGGGAACATGTCGTGGATCCCGCGCCTGCAGGGAGGAGCCGGGGTCAGCAGTGCTGGGAACGGGGCTGGAGAAGCTTCTGGAAAACTCCCGAGGGAGCCCAGCGAAAAGGAAGCTCGGAGGGAATTTCCATCCCACAAATCCCTGACGGGAGACGGGGCCGGGCTCTGCTCCCGGGGACAGCCCCAGATTCCACCTGGCTGGACATTCCAGGGAGGAATTCCCTCCTTTGGAAGTGCCCCGGGAGGGTGGGAATCGCCGCCCCGGGCGCTGTGCGGGGCCGGGGTTAGGGCTGGACCTGCTGCCCCGCGAGGCCTTTCCCACCCTCATTCCACAATGTCCCAGCTGTCCCCGGAAACCCTTCCAGGACCCTCCCGGGGCCTTGCCAGGACCCCCCAGAACATCCCGGAACGCCCCCAGGACCCTTCCTGGACCCTCCCAGGACCCAGAACATTCTGGAAACCCTTCCAGGACCCTCCCGGGGGCCTCCCAGGACCCCCCAGAACACCTTCAGAACCATCCAGAACATTCCAGAACCCTCTCAGGACCCTTACAGGACCCCCCAGGACCCCCTGGAACATTCCAGAACCCCCCCCCGGACCCTCCCAGGACCCCCCAGAACATTCCGGAACCCTCCCAGGACCCAGAACATTCTGGAACCCTGTCCCAGGACCCCCTGGAACATTCTGGAACCCCCCCAAGGACCCTCCCAGGACCCCCCAGACCCCCTCCCAGGACCCCCAGAACATTCCAGAACCCCTCCCAGGACCCCCCAGAACATTCCAGAACCCCCCCAGGACTGCCCAGAACATTCTGGAACCCCCCAGCACCCTTCCTGAAC